GTAAGATTTGCCAATGGAATGAGTATTTTTACTCTTATAATAAGATAATTAGATAATATCGACTTGGAATAAGACAACGCAATTGTTTTTTCTTATTTTAGATGTAAATTGCCTTATTCCATTGGCAAAGTGTATCACTTAACTGCTTAATTCAAGAAAGAAATGCTGTTTTTTAAAGAAAAATTAACTTACTTAGATTTCAATTTTTTGCAGTGCAGGTTGTCTTTGTCTCATTAAAATCGGATGATGATCTAAAATATTGATGCCTGCACTGGCAAAACTATAAAAACGTCTTAAATCATTCTTAATTTGGGTGGGTTAATGAGTTTGCTAATGGAATTAGTGTTTTTACTCTTAAAATAAGACAAAATGCACTTCAAATAAGGCAATGCAACTGTGTTTTCTAATTTTTAATGTGATTGTCTTCTTCCATTGGCAAAATGTCTCTTTTATCTCCTCAATTCAAGGACAAATGCATTTATTTTAAGAAAAAAAAGAAAATATTTATTGATGTTTTCCAGTGAAAACCGGAGAAAAGGAAAAGAGAAAAGGAAAACCAGAGGAAGTATGCGAGGCAGGTACTTTCCCGCTGCACAGTACTTCAGCTATCATCCTCTTTTGTTCAACCTGGTCGCCATGGCAACAATCCAAAGCAAAGCTGTTTCCATGGAGGTAATAACTACTTCAATGGTCTAAGAAAGGGCGGCAAAGGTGTCATTTAATGTCGCAAAATAACCCAGCAATGACTCTATAAGGAGCCACCAGGAAGTAGGGGCCCCCAGAGGGCCCCCAGAGGGCTCCATTCAGAGGGAACAACTCCGGGCTGAATTAGTTTACTCCAACGAGTTAAAACCAGTGAACGGGAACAAAGACGTAAGGTCAGAAGATTCAACTGGAAACCAGCTAAAGCTCAATTAAAGGCTCCAATTAATGCAGAAAAAAGCAAACAGCTCAGAAGGAATCAGAAAGTTTTAAAGCAGCAAACTGTTCACCTGCAGATCTATGTTCAATCTGCAAAACCAGAACCAAACCTATAGATAATAAAAACCAGAACATTTCTCACACTCACTGAGAGAAGATGGGTCTGATGCGTCATGCCGCCATAAGCTGCTTCGTTAAGGGAGCCAGGTGGTCGTTTAGGAGGAACTGGGAACCTGCTGTCGACACCGATTAGCAAAGGAAGTGGTAGATTTCTAAAGCTGAAGTAAAGCAGAAGACCAGTAGCTCTGAGCTTCCTGTTTCAGTGGAGCTGCAGAGAGGGAAGCACCTGAACACCAGTCAGGCCCAGAGTAAACGCCAACAGGACGCCGTTAGGTGACAGGAGGGTCCATCGGTGGGGGGGGCTGAGGCCTCTGGTCATCAGGAGGAACAGGGGAGTTCAGGGGAGCTGATCCAGATGTTTCCCTGCACCTGGAAAAATTATCCAAAAATAAGTAAAGGTTTCTTAAATTAAGTGTATTTACCCTTAATTTGAGTTGGTAAACGAGATTATCTGCCAATGGAATGAATGTGTTTGCTATTAGAATAAGATAATTAGATAAAATGCACTTGAAATAAGACAATGCAATTATTTTTTTTATTATTTTAAATGTAGATTGTCTTTTTCCATTTGCAAGATGTCTCACTTTCCTCTTCAATTCAAGAAAAAATTACTTATTTTAAGATAAAATGACTTATGTAGAATTAATTTTTTTACAGTGTGATCACCCAATACACTGGAAAAAAAATAGAGCAAAATTTGAATCAAATCTGTCCTTACAACATATTTCTATCTAAGGAAAACCAGCTGATTGCATCGACTCATTGACT